TGGGATTTAGGGCCAGTGGTGCCCAATATCTTGATTTGTCTCAAACGCAACGTATTGTCCGGTCCTTTGAGCTCGAGTTTAATGCACTTCAGAGACGACTCGACATAAGGTATAACACAATAGAGCCAACCGGCGAACCGATTGTCCACTTCAGACACTTTCAGTTTAGTCAACTGCGGCTCCAATGCGTTACAATCGCCGAACTTGAAGGTCACGTGCGATATCTTTGAGCCCAAGTCTCGCACGTTATCGATGTGTATGTAAACCGATTTAATGATCACATCCTTCGCCTCGTTGTTAGTGTTATTGATTGAAACCATTTTAGTCTTATTCCTGTCCTCATCGCCCGATTCCCAGAAGGTTTCGGTCGAGTTGTCGGTCAGACTGCCGATCATCGCCTGTCGAGACGAGGCTTTTATCTCCATCTGTGACGTCAAGTCTTGGAATGTGTCGATCACCGGATGGATCAGCACTGACTCCCGTTGGCTCTCATCCAAAAGCGCAACATTGGTCTCCTCTTCAGAAGCCCGCTTCTAAAACGACTATAACCTCTTCTGCACCGTAACTACATCCTTACTCACCAGCAGAGGTGACTTGAGTTACGTTTTTGTTGCCTGCCGATAGACAACCTCTCCTCTAGGGTAGCCGTTCAGTGGCATCAGATCGGAGACTGTGCTCAGGAAAGCGTGAAACGCGTCACTCAACGGTTGCGCCGCCTCTCCAGCAATGGACAGGTCTGCCAACGGGTGGTCGCAGACGTCCGATTGGCTTTGGTATTGCACTTCAGTCTCGTTCCGTCGTTCGGTAGGACTGCGGGCATTGTTGGCCGCGTTGATGGCGTTAGCGCTCACCACACCGTTCGCCACATTCTCCTCCACCTCTTCCTTACTGTCCTTCGGTTTCGTCTCATTCGGTGTCAAAGAGTCGACAAAAAACCACATCAAGTCGTGAAGAGAGACCGGTTGGTAGGCATTCCTCAGCAGCCAATTGAGCGCCTGTAAGCCGAGCGTACGACACGACGCCGTCTTCATCGCCACCATTAGTCCAAACAAGTCGTGCGGATGTAATATAAAGGCCATAATCGGTCGCTGCATAACGTTTGACACAATCTGTTGCGTCGAGTCGTGTTCCCCGGCGTGAAAAGTGGTCGCCATTTAGGCGCCGAAGCCGTGACTGTCGGCGACGAGATGTTCATAGAATAGCTGAGTGGCAGTGGTTTGAGGTCAGGCGCCGATAGTTTATCCGCTTTCAATTACTTCAATTCGCCAATTATCACCAATTTTTACAAATATTCAATAAATTATTTTCAAAACGATTTCAATATTCAATAAATTGTTGATTAAAAATAAAATTTTAATAAAATTATGCAAAAATTAGACAAATTTTATATCTTCGCAAAATTCGCAAAACATTGTCTGCATTTGAATCCGTCTAAACTAGGCACCTACGCTACCTGTCTGTTCTCGAACGTAAAGTACTGTTGATGAGAAACCTGAGTTTATGATTAGTAAAAGAACATAAGTTACAAATCTACTAGACTTTCTGGCCGCTTTCCTTTACACGTTTGGATGCAATCCATCGCAAGAGGAATGACATGTGTTTAAGGGGTGATACTCTTTGGACTCAAATACTAATCATTTTCTTGTATTCAATGTTTAGATGATCTGAAAGACCGGCGAAAGGAATACACGTTTGGATGCAATCCATCGCAAGAGGAATGACATGTGTTTAAGGGGTGAGGACTGGGAGGGCACATCGGTTTTTGGGATAAAGGCTTGGATGCGAGTGATTGGACGGCTCAATGGATCGGTGCTCCCAAAGGCACACAACAACAGGCACTCAAAAATCTCGCAGATATTGACGCAAAGGTATGTCATTTTAATTTGTGTGATTGTTTAATAGTAAATCATTAATTTCAAGTGTTTTAAATAAAATAATTGATTAAATTAAGGCCCGGTTTAGTGCCGGTTCTATACCTCAGCAAAAGTTTCGCAACAAATTTAAAAGTAAAATCGGCTAAACTGTACGCCACAGCACAGGGCGCCTACAAGTTGGCCATTAATGGCCGCGATATCAACAAATCAATTCTGGACCCGGGATGGACTGACTATCACAAGACTATCCAATGCCAGGCCTATGACGTGACCGACCAGTTGACGACCACAAGCACCATAAGCGTACTGTTGGGAACGGGTTGGTACAGCAGTTACGTCAGTTTCTTCGGTCAGTACAACCTCTTCGGTACGGATCAAAATTTATTGGTTGAGTTGCGGATTGAATACGAAGACAAGACTACGGCTGTCGTTAAGTCGGACAACACGTGGAAAGTAAGCACCGGTTCCTACATATACTCAGACCTATTGATGGGTGAATTGTATTACGAGAGTCGAGAGCCGCAGAACTGGAGGGACTTGACGTATGACGACAGCTACTGGCCATCAGTGTATGGTTGGTTGGATTCAATTCCAAATGCCCAAAGTGTGGGGCCGGACAACAATGGGCAACGGGTCGCCCGCCTGGGCTGATATCGCGGTGATATTGCCGTACACTCTGTGGCGACAGTACGGAGACATTCAGGCCGTCGAAGACAGTTATGAGTCAATGAAACGCTATATGTCTTATATCGGCGCAGAAAACCCGGAGTTTCTCTGGCGGAAGAGAGTCGGCACTAATTATGGCGATTGGCTTCAAGTGAACGCCAATACACCGAAGGATGTGTTGTCCACCGCTTACTACGGATACGACGCCCTATTGCTGTCCTCATTACGTGATGCGATAGGTCTGAGTCCATGATGATAACGAAGCGACCTCTGGAGTGCTTCAATCCGTGCATATAAGCGGTTCCCAAACCCAACTTCTTCTCCCGCGGCCTCAAAACGATACGATTCTCGCCGTAAATGAGTTGCAATTGTTTGGCCGCTTCTATAGTGCCGTCGGGACTGTTGTCGTCGATTATGATTATCTCATAGCCGTAACCACTAATCAAATGGCCGATGATATCAAAGGGGTGGACAATAAGTACAACATTAGACCAACTCATCCCGTCATCGAGAGTGAGCTATGCTTACCATTCATCCATGTATTTGACAATAAGCCACACAATGATTGGCAGATTCTGGCGCTCGTTATATGTCGGCAGAAGTATACTGTAGGCGATGGACTCGTTGGCCATTGTCTTCGGCGGTGATAATTGTCTTTACATAACTTATTGTACAATTTGTAACTTTATTATACAAACTTATATAAGACATACTTTATGTATATAATGGGCACAAATCTGGTGAATGACTTAACGGTATGTCTGAGCGCATGTGCAGTCAGTTTTGCAAACTTTGAAAAGCAATTTTTGCCAATCGATTGATTTGATTGCAATTTAGCCTTAATTTTGTGCACAATTGACGACAAATCGATATCTATTGCATCCAAACCAGGAATGAGTGCCCAATTTGACGGCGAAGACGCTGAGAGTGAGTACTGTTTGACACATTTGACCATCACTTTTGAGATCTAATTAAAGACATTCTTTTTTACCACAAAAAGAGCTGATCCTCTCGTCGGACGCGTTCGCCGAAGACATCGTAGAGTGTAAGGCATTGATCGGCGAGTTGTCCACAATCGGTGACAATCAAAGCAGTGGTGATAATAACAAAGTGGAGCGCATTTGCGAGCGATTTGATTATCTCATCAGCAAATGGCAGCCAAACCCGAAACTCATTGAATCTCATGTGAAGTACTTCGTGGGCGCCATCATTGAGAGTGTGTTGACCAGCGCTGCGGTCGATGGCCAACGATTCACCGCCGCCTTCGCACTAATGCACCGTTTGGTGGCCTGTATTGGCCCGAAGTCTGTGCGCCGGTATTTGCCGATTGAAGTCCTGTGGTTACCCAAACTGGTCGAGTGGTGCGAACGCCAGACACCCGAAGACACCAAGTCGTGGCCGACGCGAGCGATGCTACTGTTGTGGCTCTCGATGGCCGTCAAAACGACTACAAATCTGAGCAAATTTGACTCAAAAGCCGAGACAACGAGCGCTCAGAAGACATTAGTGGAGCGGATCTATGCGCTGATCGATCGGTATCTGAAAGCGACCGATAAGAGCAGGGATTCGGCCGCCGTATTAGCCGCATATTTCTTCGCGCGGCCCGATATTGTGGACCAATTGTTGAACCGCTTTATGAGCGAATCGTTGCCCCAATTGGATACCAGTTTAGGTCACGTGATGGCTGTGGCCGTACTCTTGAAAGTGGCCGATCGCAAGACTATAAGTCCGTTCGCCGAACGCCTGCTTGAAATGTGGGCACAAATGGACACAACGGGTCGCGAACTGATGACCAAATGGAATGTCAAACTTATGGGTCGATCGGCGCTGTCTTTGATGAGACCCCGAATCGCCAAATGGCGGTACAGCCAAGGGTTGCCGTATAACGTATTTTTCAATCCATTTATATTTTGTTTACAACTTTTTATTAAATTTTTTGTCTCATAAACAGACTGTTGAGGACCTCGAAGACGACTGCAATTACAGTGATATACCGGAACAGTTGGAAGTGATAATCGACTCCCTGTTGAACGCCTTACACCACGAGAACACAACAGTCCGCTCGTCATCGGCGAAGTATTTGGCGCGACTCACGAACCGATTGCCTATAGAGATGGCCGAGAAGGTCGTCGACAGTGTCCTCCAGTTGTGCGAATGGAAAGACTCGGACTCTTCATCGCACGGCTGTTGCCTAGCGTTGGCCGAACTCACCCGCAGAGGCCTTATACTGACGGATCAGTTGCCACAAGTGATAGACGTTGTGCAGAAAGCGTTGCTTTTTGACGAAATGAAAGGTATTTAAGATAATAGCGGAAGTGTTACCACTTTTTTAGTGACAATTATCTCAATCTTAGGCTTATGTTCCATCGGATCCAACGTAAGAAGAGCCGCGTGTCACGTGTGTTGGTCTCTATCGCATGCGTACAAAACGATATTTATTAAAGAGTTTGTTCACCGATTGGCGCCGACTCTCGTATGCGTCGTGTGTTTCGATCGTGAGCTCAACTGCCGAAGAGCCGCTTCGGCGGCCATTCAAGAGTTTGTCGTCCGAACACATGAGTTCCCACACGGAGGAGAAGTATTGCTTTTGACAGACTTTCACGCGTTGGCCACAAGAAGTCACTGCTATTTAGACATCGCCTTGAAATTGGCACAGAAGCCAGAGTTTGGCGATTGTCTGGTCCAACATCTGGTCGACAAATGCCAGCACTGGGACCGAGAAGTGTGCGAATTAGTGGCCCAATCGCTGGGATTGCTGTCCACTGTTATCGATATGAACCCCTATTTACCACAATTACTTGCGAAGAGGGCATCAATGGATCTGAACTCAAGACACGGCTCTATACTAGCGATCGGTCACATCATTGGCAGTATTGGCGACAAAATCAGTCCAGAATTGAGGGAACAAATGGAATCAATTGCCGTGACTTTGAGTGACAACAACGAGACCTATCGGACAGGTATTGAATATACAATCGATTCGATGGACAATTCGGATACAGAAGAATCGCTTCAAATTATTTTTGAGTCACTCAATGCAAACACAGTTTGCAGTCAACGGTCGCCGCAATCATTACAACCCGTCTTAGAAGTGGAGTCACTAATTGAACCGTTCGAAGGGCTGGCCGTCAAGAGGTTTGAGGCCAACGATAAGACGCCGAACGCCAAGAATGCGGACAATAAGTGTTTGAATGAAAACTCTGAGAGCTGTGGCGTCGAGTCCGACGACTTTGCAGAGGTTTGTTCCCAATATTGTCGTCGGAATTGATTTCATAACCAATTCATGTATTTATTATCTTCTCATTGGACTGAATAGTATCTGAAGAGCGGAAACCACGAGTCGTACTCCAGAAACGACGACAACTCGGAAGAGATTCAGTCGTTGAAGAATACCAAACGATTCCACTTCTAAATCCAAATACATTTAAATTAATTGTTTTATTTTTAATGCATTTTAATGTCTAAATTCTTAATTAGTTTTTAATATAAACTTTGATTCATATAATTTCATGTTTAGAACATCTGTAGTTATAATTCATAATTAAATTAAAACTTTTAATAAACAAATTGATTTAAGCGATAAAATTTCCGAATAAATAAAATGCATTACAATTACAAACAATTATCACAACAAATAATAATCAATAAACGGTATAATTATTAATAACTTTGACCACAATTTACATGAAAACAAGCGACACATTCGGGGGAACCGTAAACTCATTCCTCATCTCTTCAGTAATATTACTAATATTAGTAAAAATCAATTCAATTCTTCGACGACTTCTTGTGGCCAACACTTCCAGACACGCCTTCACCGCCTCGTTGTCTATCACCGAACAGTTCTCAACACGAAATCGACGCATACTTGTGGTCGCCTTCAGGAGATCCACCACATCATCGTTGGACACGGAATGTCTTACACTGTCGTCGTAATCGCCATACGGGTAGCGGTCGTCCTGAATGGTAAGCACCGGTAGATTCAGTTCACCGATTAATCGGTAACTCTGGGCTTTCAAGTCGAACAGACCGGCGCTTATACCCAATTCGGTCAAATCGGGACAATATCTCTTGAGTTGTGCCAGAATTGGATCAATTGATTCTCTTTTGCGGTGCCAATTGTTGTGATCGAAGAGTCGCAACACTTTCAGCCGCGACAGACCACTGATGGCCTCCGTTAACGATCGCAATGTGTACAGACTGTGACACGGATAGGAACAGTGAGTGCGGCACTCGTCTGACAGTTCCAGCGCTTCCAGACTCGTTAAACTCTGCAGATGGCGAACGTAACCGACGTTATCGACATCACCAGTGGGTCTGATATCTCCGCCATTGAAACTGCAGTAAAACTCTCGCAGTTGTGGCATATTATCACAAATGGTGGACAAGTACTTCAATTCGTTCAAATGGATCTTCAGAACGCGGATGTGCTGTCGCGCGGGTCCGGCCATCAGTGACTCGATCACCATCTGGTCATTGCTTTCACTATCGCCGATCATTAGTGTCTTAGTTGTGGCCGATATATAGCGCAGTGTTTGACCGGTAAAGCCATAACCTAACCGGTAATATTCATTGAGTTCCCAATCGGTGCCGAAGTTAAAGCGGACCAATCGGGGCAGACGTGTGGCCACAATCTTGATCACAGAGTCGTCCACATCACAGTTGGGCACATCCAGGTGTGTGAGCGCCGGATACGCGGCCACCAACTGCTCGATACCCTTTGCACTGACCGACACCTCTTCGTTCACACATTTCATGTATAGACGGGAAATGTGCGGACATTTGGCCACAAGAACCTTAATCATCGGATCAAACGGTTGGACACCTGAAGGTATGGATGGATAAGAAAGTGCGGACATAAATATAAGGCATAAATGTGTGAATCAAGTGTGCGATCAAAGGGTTGTGAGAATTGGTGACTAAATGACCGACGGATACAGACCTGTGACCGAAAGTGATGTCAATTTGGGCATCAATTGAAGGCAACGTCCAAATCGGGGTAAATTCACGTCAGTTATGCCGTCATTTCCATTGAGGTTATACGAAAAATGTGTCACATTTGATAGATTATCATCTGTTGAAACCGATGATTGCGATCAATGGTTAGAGATATTACTAGACATGAGAGACAGAGACTAACCGCTATCCAAATCCGATGCCAGCGTCAGTTCGTTGTCTTTATTGTTACCATTGATGGACTGATTGTACGTAAAGTGTGTGATGTTTGACAGATAGTCATCTGTTGGAACCGATGAATGAAATCAATGATTAGATATAATCAAAGACATTGAGTCTCAATGATTAAGAAACAAATACTAACCGATCACTTGTTTCCAGTCCTTACAGACCCGGCGGTCGGCCAACAGTTCCCCGAATGGTATGAATGAGAAGACAATCTTCAGACAGTCGTCGTTCAGTTCATTGATATTCATTACTAATAAATCAAATCAATTAATTGTAATGTATTTTACATTTAAATAATACTTTTAATTAAAGACCGGAAAAGTTTTTCCGGGAAACAAACAAATGGTTTACAAAACAAAGCATTTCATCACTGATTGAAACACTTGTCATAACATTACACACCCTTTGCTCACAATATGGGCTGTGATTGGCTTAAAGCAGTCATACAGTATGAACCAGATATAGGTATCCATACAGTTGTGACTCGATTCTGGTAATAAATGAGGGATAAATCACAATCTAATTGATTGTAATTAAAAAACTTTTAACTTTTATTACAGAATATAAATTATAATATAATACAGACTTTAAATGTAACATAAAATACTGTTCAAATATTTGTTGTTAAAAACACTTCACAAACACTACAATAAAAGTTTGGTCTAAAAGTATTGTTTTATAATTTGTTAATTGTTTTGCAAAATGTGTTCGCAATTAAGCAGTGATTCATTGATTGAAATGTTTTACAAATTAAAACAAATGAAGATTTTGTGCAAACATTAGACAAAACGTAATGCATTTTGAATACAAATAATGGTTTTTTTTGTGAAGCGATTGAATGCGAAAATAAATTTAGAAATTCTTTTATTAAAAACTAATTTTAAATTGCAATTGAATATATTTTTGAGCACAAATATTAACTATAAATATCTACTTATTTGTTAAACAATTACAAGTATTTTATAACAATTAATTAGCATTGAATACCATTTCCCTTCCGGTGAGCGCCGAAAACAACTGATCCACAAATGCTTTCTCATTGATTGTACGATAAGTTTTATTACTATTATTACTCGTCTTTGGGTTACTTCTGGTGCTCTTCTTCTTCCTCTTCGTTGTCGTCCTTTTCTTTGACGCCTTTCTGGCGGTCGTCGGGCCGTTAGCGGCGCCAACACTACCACCACTATCGGTGCCGTAAGCCGTGGGTATATCCTCGGGAAACACGGGTCGGTTGCCACGCCTCAGACCCCTCTCCCGATCCAATTGATCATTATATCCGTCGATTGTGTCGGGAATACAACACTTACTAAACTTTGTACAACAGATGACATTCCGGACAGACATAGTGTCCACTCCATCACAGGTGTCGCAAGCGGTGGTCCGGCCCTGAAATACCACAATTCCAACGCTTCCCTGTATTGCCGCCCAAAGACATACTGTCCACACAATTACCGATATATTTGTGGCAAACATTTACAATATTTTATCTGTTGTTAAGTTTTTGTAATATATTTTTGCCATTTATTTGCCATAAATTAATTTTCCTTTACTTTCGATGCGATTATATAATTAAAACATAAGACAATCGCTGAATGACTTCATCGCTGGTTATTTTGAAGGACGAGAGAGAGAGAGATGTCAGGTGCGGCACAGATAGCTGTCTCATCAATACATTGACAATACCTGTGCGACTGTACTGTATATTAAGTTCTCAAAAAACATATTA